ACCTTTTAGGCTCTATCAACAACCCCCCATGTACACCTTCAATTCCTGTATCCCCACCTAAGCACCGTTCTGCACCTTATTCCCTTATAAATAACCTCACAGCATCTCCCCCGCTGCACCCTAAACCATACTAACAACTAATCACCAATGGCCACGATAAACCCGCGCCGAGGGACCCCTCACCCTCCTTCCGGGCCCCCTCTTCTCTAGGATGCTGCGGCAGGTTCTGCACAGGGGCTTGAGGACGTGTTTCTCCCGGCTCGGCCACTTCATTGCCAGTCACCCGGTCTTCTTCGCCTCGGCGCCGGTGCTCATCTCCATCCTGCTCGGCGCCAGCTTCAGCCGATACCAGGTCGAGGAGAGCGTGGAGCACCTGCTGGCGCCCCAGCACAGCCTGGCCAAGATCGAGCGCAACCTCGTCAACAGCCTCTTCCCGGTCAACCGCTCCAAGCACCGGCTCTACTCGGACCTGCAGACTCCCGGGCGCTACGGCCGGGTCATCGTCACCTCCTTCCAGAAAGCCAACATGCTGGACCAGCATCACACCGACCTGATCTTAAAGGTGAGAGGGGGGCGGGTGCGGGCAGCCTCCGCCCGTGTCCCTTTCGCGGCCAGGCTGGGTGAGCGCGGGGGTCCCGGCTGAGAGCGCCGCTAGTCCTATCCCAGGAGGCTGCCGCAGGAGCTTCCCTGCACTGCGTGCCCCTGGGTGGCCACCCCGAGCCTCCCAGGTTTCCTCCGGGTCCGGGTCCGGGCCCGGCCCTGCCCGCGCCGCCTCCACCGCCACCCCGCAGCTGCTGCAACAGTTGGGGCGGCGGCGGCCGCGGTGCTGTGGTCGGTGCGCTTGTTTTGGTCGCAGTGGGCTTGGGGGTGGGGAGGCTTTGGGGTAACTGGGCCAAGGAAGGAGTAGAACAAGAGAAGACATTCTAGAAAGTCTTGGTACTTGAGAACAAAATACCGTACTTGGGGGAGATTCCAAGACACCTCTCCACTCCCCGTTTTTTTTCTCCCCTCCTGGGGCCGCCGAGTGCTTGGAGAAAGGCTGCTTGGGGGAGGGAGGTTGGGAAGGGGCTGAGGAATGGGAGGCGGGATGGCGAGGAAACCGCCTCCCAACCAGCCAGAAAGAACTGGGGCGCCTGGGGAGGACTGGGGGCTGACTTGCTGCCGACTTCCCCGGAGCGAGGTGGCCATCTCTGCCTTTTAGGGTAGGAGATGAGGTTTGAAATTCGCAGTTATTTCATCTTGCACGGTAGTTCCTCTCTGAGAAATGCAAAAACTTCTTTGGGCAAAGAGGGAACAAATCCATCCACTTTTATTTGGGTGCATTTGAGCTTAGGGGTGAGGGGCAGAGCCCGAAGGGTGAGAACAGAAGCCTGGTTTGTGTAGCCCGGAAAAGAACAGGAAACAGCAGCCGGTTAGAGGGTGACACTCTTGGAATCCGCTTGTGCCATCAGCAGGAGGTGGGAATCTGATATGGAAAGTGAGGTTAATGGCAGTAAGTTTCAGGAAGTTCCTAAGAAAAGCAGAAGAGTGAGGACTAGAGATGTGAACAGCCGAGACTGCAGGAGGGAAAAGCAAAAATAGGTGAGAAGGTTCCATCTAAATGGCTGGTGGGGATGTGGGCTTGTTTACTTAAGGTTCTCCTCCCGGAGGGCAGAAGGGAACCAGCCTCAGCTGGGACCCCGGTGTGGAGGAATGGGAGGTGCTGGGTTTGTGTGGGTCTTTGGTCCAGATATGGCAGCAGACTCCAGTTAGATGTCTAGTTTACCTATTGTAAGAAGCGTCCACCCGTGAACCAGGGGAACTCTTGTTTTTTCCTCCATAAGTAACAGTTTATCCCTAGAGACAAGCTAATTTCCCTCTATTATTTCCCTTCCTCTGTGGACAGGTTATCAATGAACAAGATTAGTACTGAGGGGAACCTGCCTGGGGGCTCAGTGGAATTAGGACCTTCCCACACCGAGTGGCTCATGGACATTTTAATGGCACTCAGATCATCACGTATATTCAGTCACACATTGCAGAATTTTCTTCATGTTAATCCTGAGATGTTTTTCTCATGATTGTACTTCCAACATCCAAGTGGTTTTTTTTTTCAGTATTCCAGTGTACATATTTTGACACACAGATAATGCTGCTTCCAGTGCTTTCCCGTGAAAACATGCAGTGGATTCATCACCATGTTAAGGAAACTAGAGATTTAGTCAGGCCAGACGGTTGGAAATGCCCTGCTTTTTGGTAGATGATCTACCAAATGATGTTTCTCTTTGTATTTTTGTCCAAGGCAGTCTTTCCATTGGCTTTTTCTCCCCTAACAAGGCATCACTGTGATGGGCAGTCGCGGTTCCATTCACTCTCAAGGTTAATGAGACATCAACAGGCACATCAGATCTCTTTGCAACTGTATTCTTTCTCCCCCGCTTTGATTTTGATCAGTTTAGGACAGAAACGAGTATTATAAGAGAAGGTTAGGACTGGAGAGAGGAAGGCTGGCTTTGCCTCCATGTCTAAAGGACAAGTGGGAGAGTCAGTGGATTGTTTTGAGAAATGGGATAGTTTTTCAAGCTGGAAGTGTCTGGGTAAAATCAAAACCAAGCTGACTAGTGGTCAGAACTCATTTCTAGCTGATAGCTCTCTGGCCGCATGAGTCCATACAGCTTATAAAAACCCTGATTTATGAAACCTAGGGAATGGCCTGAGATTTAAAATGATATATTCATTGTTTCTTTCTTCATCCAACCCTTATTTTTGGTAGGTAGGGAGCGGGGAGACAGGGAAATGGCCGTTCAGTAGTCATGGTAATGTAAAGTGTGGGAGTGAGCACTTATTTCTTTTCCTCCATTTAGAGACATGATGACTTATCCTTTACAAAAGGTGTTAAGAGTGCAAGAGTCACAGTTATTGCCATTATTAGTGTCATTCTGATACTCCGTTGCTGGCATCAAGGATAGCACCACCAGCGAACACTGTACACAACAAAAAACAGTCCTGGCCTGTTTGGACGCATCACATTCCAAGTGAAGTGGCCAGAGCAAAAGAAGGGTTGGAGGCTTTCTCAGGCCCCACTACCAAAGTGGAGGAAGTAACTGGCAGGGTTTTACAGGGTGAGCTTCAAGCATGATGTTTCTTTCCTCATTATGTTTTGGGGTTGTACCTGTTCAATGAAGGAGATCCTTCTTGGAATACTAGTGCAGCTGGTTGCTGACCAAAAATAGACTGGGAGGGTATGATAACAAAATACGAGAAGACACGTTTTCCCTTTTTAAAAATGTAATTCAGAGTATCATAGAAAAAAATCTACATTTGAAAATCCCACTCATTTGGTTTGAAAGAATGTTTTCAAATTTGTTCAAGTGACATGATCAACATACTCAAATTTGGCAGCACAGAATATGACTCCAAACCATAAGGGGTGACTCTCCCTAGCAGTAAGGGCTACAAGAAAAAGATGTAATTTGCGGCAAAAGAGGGTAGAACCTAACAGTGCTGGTCAAGGCTCAACCATTGATTTCTTTATTTTACTAGAAAATTAAATTTAGCTCATTATATTCTTAACAGAAAACCTATGATACTCATCTTGGTACAAATTTAAAAGTAGGGTGTCATCAGCTTGTACAGATGTCTCTTTGTAATCAATTAAAATGAAGTATCAAGAAGGTCCCATAGATAATTGATCCAGGATATGACTAATACTTAATTTATTCCAGAATCACCCATATAGAGAGAATAATCAGCTTAGACCAGTCCTTATGGGAATATCAACTTTACACCACATTATAGGTAATAAACATAGAGTATGTTTAAAAACCCTAAACTGGGAGAGGTGCTGTTATCCCATTTTACAGATAAGAAAACTCCTTAGAAGCTAACTGACTAGTCCATAGAAAAAAGACAAGGACCGAACCACTGCTGGGATCCAGGTTTTGATCTCTAAGCCC